CAATGTAAGCTTTCAAAATTTCATTGTTATCATGTCAACGATATCTGTCAAAACAGACAAGTCCAATTGGAATGGTGCAATTAAGCGCTTATAAGTAATGATCACGCAAATCAGGAGACTTCAATGGGTCAACATTGTGATTGCTCTAAATCACCACGGATGTGATATCAGACGCAAGAATCAGTTGGATCAATTCCCTTAGAGAGTTTGCAGATGATCGCGGATCACCATTAAAGAATGATAGTGCTTCATGAATAGTCCAAGTGTGAGCATAAACTGCGAAGGTGGAAAACTTTGGGGTATATTCAACTACTGCTCAATAATAATTCGTGAACTAGAACGCAATAATTTGATCATCTGCTAGATAAAATGAAATTTCAACAAGTTTACTCGTGCAGTCAATAATGAACTAAATGAGATGCTTGTTAAAACTGAACGCAGTTTCAGCGTTAATATTTTTGCAGCACGAACATTCAGTACAAGCAAAAAAAATTGAACGGAATGAATGCAAATAAAATGATGAACAAAATAATGATTGTGTGATGTTAAGGATGAGAGGACATACGGGCAACGCTGTTAACAGTGATACGTGCCGGCAGTGAGTCAACTTCGTATCCTGACGGATCTCTCATTGAGCACAAGTAAACCCCAGCATCGGATGGACTCGCTTGGGCGATGGTCAGAATACCATGTTCATCGGTAGTTCCCTCGGACATCTCACGACCATCCTCACGACGCCAGTGCAATTCCGAATCGTCAACTCCTGGTGAATAGCACCGCAAACGTGCATAATCTCCTTCGTTCACAGTCTCCTCTTCAGACACCAATAGCGGCCCGCTAGCTGTAAACGTGAATGAGCACAATAAGTGGGTGGTTAGTTGCAGTACTTATACAAATTAAAAAAATGTTAGATGAGTTATTATGCATGCTTGTTACAATGAACTATTTTATGCCGCAAAAACAGCCAACACTATAAATGATATGTTGGAACCGACTAGCAAAACAAAAAATTCAACGAAAAATGGATATCGGCTCGTCATATACGAAAAACTGAGGGATAAATTTTCGAAAGTGCCCCTTGAAAACATAAAACCCGATACATGAACCCTGCATAGGTGTGTGCATAAATACGTCGCAAAAACGGATGTAATAGCGATTATTCGCTGCTAATTTTGTGTTTTACGAACAACGCACGTTTGCTTGATGTCACTGTTAGATGCACCGGTGCTGAATCGACACTTTCTGTGTCATAGTCATCCGGGTGTCCAGTGGAGCAAATGTATGCGCCCGAGTCCGACTCTACAGTCTTCATGATCGTCAGTGTGCCACGCTGCTCATCGGAATCGGTCGACAGTGGACTGCCATCTTGTCGTTTCCAGTAGACG